GATGTGGGTTCCAGTTGTTATATGACCAGAAGTAAAAGAAAGATCCGTGGACCGGCAGCAAAGTTTGGGGTTACTAATAAAATAAAAAAGGTTCGATTTCAACATGAATTTGTAAAGATTACTGAAAATATAAAAGTGAGTTATACTATTGTCAATAAAAACTAAAAATTACGATATGTAACACCTTTGTAAATCATTAGAATAAAAGAGGAGTTGAACGATTGTTGAGGAATTTGAAAAGTAAACAGAAGCGGATGAATGGGTCAAAGGTTGCAAAGGTTATTGAGTCAACTCGGTGCGGTCAATCAGAAGTCGAGAATATAAATGCAGCTGAGCTGCCGATTAATCAAAATTTATCCGTTGTTGATCGTAAATTAAGAGTTACTGATGTTAGCTCAATTGCAGAATGTAATACTGCGGTTGCAGGTATATCAATTGTTGAGCATGGCAAACCAGATGTGAATACTTATTCCAACCCTGCGGAAAGGTAATTTTAAGAAAATTCAAAGCAGATATTTGTTCACATCTTTATATTAATTTTTTATTATAATAAATAAATGTAGCAATGCAACAGATAATGATGTGGGTTCCAGTTGTTATATGACCAGAAGTAAAAGAAAGATCCGTGGACCGGCAGCAAAGTTTGGGATTACTCATAAGTTAAAAAAAGTTCGACTTCAACATAAATTTAAAAAGATTAATAAAAATGAAAAAGTGAGGGTCAATGGATCAAAGGTTGCAAAGGTTAATGAGTCAACTGAACGCAGTCAATCAGAAGTCGAGAATATAAATGCAACTGAGCTGCCGATTAATCAAAATTTATCCGTTGTTGATCGTAAATTAAGAGTTACTGACGTTAGGTCAATTGCAGAATGTAATACTGCGGTTGCAGGTATATCAATTGTTGAGCATGACAAACCAGATGTGAATACTTATTCCAACCCTGCGGAAAGGTAATTTTAAGAAAATTCAAAGAAGATATTCGTTCACATCTTTATATTAAATTTTTACTTTAATAAATGAATGTAGCAATGCAATAGATAATGATGTGGGTCCCAGTTGTTATATGACCAGAAGTAAGAGAAAGATCCGTGGACCAGCAGCAATGTTTGGGATTACTCATAAGTTAAAAAAAGTTCGATTTCAACATAAATTTAAAAAGATTACTAAAAATGAAAAAGTGAGGGTCAATGGATCAAAGGTTGCAAAGGTTATTAAGTCAACTGAGCGTTGTCATCCAGAAGTCAAGAATATAAACGCAACTGAGCTGCCGTTTAATCAAAATTTATCCGTTGTTGATCTTAAATCAAGAGTTACTGATGTTAGGTCGGTTGATAGCTATGAAGCAGTTACGGGAGTTATGGCAAATGTTGAGTATAAGACAATAGATATGGATACTAGCTACAACCAATACAATCGGTAAGTTTAACTAAGTTCAAAGTACATAGATATGAGTTTTTAACTCTATACTGATATTTTAGCGAGACAATTGACTATAATACTACTGCTACTCAGACAGATCTGGCTGGCAGTGACTGGCTCACCAATGACAAAGATGTAGCTGAGCAGCCGGTTATGCGAAATGTGTCCGTTGTTGATCTTAAATCAAGAGTTACTGACGTTACGATGTTTGCTGACTATGTAACTGTTATTGGTGTTATTGGTGCAAATGTTGAGCATAAGGCAATAGATATGGATACTAGCTACAACCAACACAATTGGTGATTTTAACTAACTTTAAAATAGATATGTGTTTACAACTTTTTACTGATTTTTTAGCGAGAGAACTAAACACTGTCCATCAGATTGCAAGAATCGAAATACAGCTGAGCAGCTGGTCGAGCAAAATGTATCCGTTGTTGACGATAAAGAAGTAGTTGGTGATATTAGGTCGGTTGCTAATTATGAGACCATATACACTAGTGTTATAAAAAATGTTAAGAATGACACAATAGTTGTGAATACTTGTGATAATGATGTGGATTCCGGTTGTTATATAACCGGAAGGAAAAGAATAGCACATGGACCGGTAGCACCGTCGGAGGTTACTGCTAAGTTAGAAAGAATTCGAAATAGATGTGAAGTTAAGAATGATAATAAAAGTGAAATGAAGGTAAGTTCTAGTATTGTTAATAATAATTTAAAATTACGTTATTTAATACCTTTGTAAATCATTAGAAAGAGGATCGAATTGAACGAGTGTACAGGAATTTTAATACTTACCAACAGCGGTACAAGGAACCAAAGGTTGTCAGTAGGAATTCGTTTTCGAAAATATATTAACGAGTTAAGAATTGTTCGCCTTAATTAAAATTAATTTTTACCAGACTGTATTTCAGTTGCAATGTTGGTAACCTTTTAGCTTCATAATCAATAAATTATTATTATTATTGGCATTACTATTGTTGATATTACTATTATTAATTTATTATAATTGTTCACATTAAAAATCTTATGAACACTTTTGTAATAGTTTTTAGGTTAATAAAAATACTACCAGGTTAGATTTTTTACTGTTTGTATATATAGTTTTCTTCTAGTTTTAATATTTTTTTCAAAATACAAATTTGTTTTGAGACGTTGATTGCAGAGTAATTTAATGTTTAATTTAATTTTTAAAGTCAATAATGGTGAAAGGGATTTTGTATAGTAATAAATTATATCAACTTAATTTTATTTTTAATTATCGAGTTTTTTTTTTTTGAAGTATATAATAATTTCATATTATTGGCATTTTCTTATAGGAAAAAATCACCAAAAAATTTTTTTCAAATTTTTCGTTCCACTTCAGTGATCGCAGAGTGACTTTTGCATATATTTTGCATATATACATTTTTTGTTATAAGTTCCCAAATAAGGAATAATCGTTATAAACAAATTGTAGTAATTTGTTTTAATTTGATACATTCTAAGTTCTAAGCCTATCACTTGTTGTCCAACAATTGCATATTTCCTAAGATCACTGATAATAAGAATATTCAATTAAGCTGTATGATTAGTAAAAAAAATTCATTTGATTACAAATAAAATTTTGTTGTTGTTATTTACTACTATCTAAAACCCTTGCTATTAATATAACATATTGATAATTAAGCAATATTTTTACGTTTGATTTTTACTATAGTTTTACTTGTTTCTTTAACTTACTTATAGAATATTACAAGAGGCTGGATACCGTTACTACCCTTCTACATATAAACTGGGTTCTTTATTATCTCTTCAAACGTAGAACGTCACAGAGTTTTTATCAAAACTTTAAAATTTAAGATTTATTAGAGCTAAACTATTTTGGTTATTATTTATATCTATCTGAATATTATAATAAAATATAAAACGCAAGCAAATTTAAGAGTATAGACAGTGACTTGCCATGAATCTATATCTAAGGCTAACTAAAATTTAGATTTTGATTCTAAATCAATGTAATCTAAATGATATAACCATATCCACTTAGAAGCTTAGTCAATTGAAATTGCGCTACAGTTATTGTTCGCTATTGTTAAATCTACTATATTTAGACGTCTTTTGCTTCAAATGGGATTTAGAGAGGCAGATATATGTATATAATGTATATCGAAGATCGCATTAAATCCGTTGGGTAATATGTATATGGTGTTGTTTATGTGTGTTATTATGATGATATTTAAATCTTGGATTTAGAGGATAGATATATGTATATTATATATATCGAAGATCGCATTAATTTCGTTGTGTAGTGTGTACAGGTTTATGGATTTGTGTATTATTATGATGTCATTTAGATCTTGGATTTAGAGGGACAGATATATATATATTATATGTATCGAAGATCGCATTAATATTATTGTGTAGTGTGTACAGGCTTATGGATTTGTGTATTATTATGATGTCATTTAAATCTTGGATTTGGAGGGACAGATATATGTATATTATATGTATCGAAGATCGCATTAATATTATTGTGTAGTGTGTACAGGGTGATGCATTTGTGTGTTATTATGATGACATTCAAATCTTGGGTTTAAAAAGTTGAATAGTTGAATGGATTCAATGATTCGCAGAGTTAGATTACATTGTAGGACTTTATGTATCCAACTACAGTTAAATATAAAAAATTGAAAATTTGAATGATAAAAATTTTTTTGTTTTTGCTTGAAATTACAACTTCTGTTTGAAGTTTTTATATTCCAATTAATAAAATTTTACATCGATTTCTATAATGTGATTTCTCTTTCATCGTGTGAATGAAATTTTGATACATGTACTTGTTCATTTGTATGTACCTTCAAACTTAGTATTTTCTTCGATAACATTGACTTCATTTACTTCAAATTATTGCGTTGAATTTTAACAACTTTTCCACTCTAAATTCCAGAAAACGAAACAGGGTATCAATAAAAATACTTTCGGAATCAATACAAATTATTTACTAATTTCTTAACAAAATAAAGAGGAATTACCCATAGTTGGAAAAGTTCTGCGTAGTAAGAAGCAACAAATAAAGCCATACAAGAGTTTATTTAATCTTTTAAGCTATTTTACGAGTTCACTTTGAAGATACTTTACCACTAATACAGTCGAGCATTTGTTACAATATGCGAGCGTACGCATATACACAAATATACTCCGGCATATATATGGGGATTTTTGTGTAAGGACTTGTGCTTTCTTGGGGCGTATCAATATAAGTGAAGGTAATGAAAAATCCTGCGGCGATTGATGTTGTGAAGTAAAAAAATCAGCGAATGCGTACATTATGTTTCGCTTTGAAGCGGTACTTTTTACCGAGTACTGCTGTGTAACGTTTTTTTATCAACGACTTGTAAAGTTTACACCGCTTTCCGTAGCGAACATTTCTGAAAAGTATTTATTATTCCATGCACAATACGAAGTATCAACCAAACAACCAACCAACATTTGGCGGATATTTCAGTTATAAATTGACTTTTGCTTGCGGTACGGCATGAATACTTGCTTTGCTTGTTTTCATTTTTATTTTTCCTTTTTTTTTCTGCAGCTGCAGTAGTAAAAATTTTTTAAATTAAAAAAGTTTTCCCAATACGAGTATTCCGATTCGAATGTAGACTTACACATGTAACCACTCCTGTCCATACCAATGTAACGCGTTCGCATTCGAACACGCACTTCCCCAGCAAATAAGCAATCGAGAAGTCGGTAAAAATTAAAAATATAAAATGAAAACCAAGAATCCAAAAACAAAAAAAAAATCAAATAAAACATAAAAATTAATGTTTTCCGAATGCTGGGCATGTCCACATACCTTTCACAGATTTTCCTGTAATTTTATTTCATTCACATTTATTTATTTAGATTTTTTGTGTTGGGGGCACTTCTAATTATTTTGGAGAAGTTTCCTTTTGTACATTGTTTCCTCTTTTCCATTACATTTTTTCTTCGGAAAATATCAAAGAAATACACTTTAAGTTGATATTGTCTGTTCTCATATATATATATCTTGGAAAAAGGATCTCATACATACTACGTTGTGAAAACGAAATCCTTTTTATGAGATAATAAAATTGATTTCTTTTTAACTTAATCAGAACTATCACAAAAGCTATTTATATAGGGATTAATGTTATTACTAACACATCGGCTGATAGGTCTGTATAATAATCAACAACATTTTGACAAAATTCGACTTTATTCATGAATGTAGACTCCATCATGACTAATACAGTACAATCATTCCAGAGCTTCTCTAAATTTAGATATCCCCCTTATAGAATGAAACATCTTAAAATATAACGCTTTAAAGTGTGCCTCAGTTTCGACGATGACTTTTTCAGTGGTTCCAAATCTCTATTCCTAAAGCATTTTTTTAAGGCCTGTGAACAGATAGTATAGTAATCGTTGGTGAGTGTGGTAGTAATTCGAGTTGTAATTTGTGCAATTTGGATGTTATAGTCAATGACTTGTGACATGGCGCATCATCTTTATGAAAGAGGTTTTGTCTCTTCTTCATTTGAAGCCGTTGTTTCGCGATTTTCTGTTTGAAACCTATTCCATTTTTTTTAATTATGTTTAAACAAAGAGCAAAGTTTCAATTATCAACAACTAGTTAGAATGACTAAAAAGAGCTTTTTCGAAATTCATATGGAATTTAACGAGACTAAATCCATTTCTACATAGTCCATGAGTTATATCATACTATATCTCATGACTATCTTGTATTTTTAATGCACAGGATCAATATTTTCTAGCGCAAGAACTCATTTCTGATGGCCTTTTTTAAATATCTTCTTGAGCGCAATGATATCTGCAACCAAATACTTTTTACCATAACTTGACAGCTGCTAAGAATGGAAACTCATCGTCAAAAGTGAATATTAGTTTTATGATCCAATTTTGTCTTGATAATCTACATCGTAAATTTTAATAAATCATATTTCGAAACCTTTGAAACAGTCTTTATTGAACTATAAAAACGCAAAGCGAGTACAAATAATAAATCTTTCTGAATAACCTTGTAGTCAAGAACTTCAGTTGGGACTTAACAATATTAAAGGTTATCAATGCTTACAATATAAATAGTGACTTTCGTTCGCCATCCTTTATGCACCGTCAGAGTCTAATATACTGAATATTTTAGTTCGGTGAAAAAAATAATTTTACTGAGTATCTTCTATTTCACTGAATTTATTCGTTAAATAAATTTGAAATTAAAGAAACAATGAAGGTCCAGAATTTACGTGGATACCTGTCGTGAAGGTTCAACACGCAGCGATATATTGCGCCTATAAACACCCTATTGGAATTCAAAAAGAATTTCGTGAGTAATAATTGAAGTTATTTCTTTGAGCATAACTTCCCCCTTAGTGAAGCGCGAGGCCTATCTACAACCTTTGCAGATCTTTGGGTCACAGTATCACATCAAATGATTGTAAATGAATACAATAATTCTAGCCGCGTAAGTTTAGGTTTTAACTACAACTACTGCATCATTCTGTTAAAGAGTCAACTTCAATTGTCTGGACAGCCGAAGCTGCGGGTCCCTTACCCCCGTGGTACTAGATTTTCACCTCCAGTCAGATGTCGTAAGAGAAATTCACTTACTACCAGTGATACTCCAAACAGCAACAACAATAATGAACGGACAATAACGAAACAGGGAGAGGCAAATACACGGAGCGATAACGAGCCGACAATAGGGCAGCTGCAGGACTGAATTCAGCCACCTCATTTATGCATTACACAAAACTCTACGGATAATGGAAGAGTATCTTTATAAGTATTTATGATTCATTGAATATTTTGGTTTGATGAATAGTTTTAAAATAAATAATACTATTCAGAATTAAATATATCAATTAAAAATTGGAAATCTAACTCAACAGATAATCGAAGAGTATATTGAATATATATTCTTCATTATTATAAAAATATTATT